TAGAGGTGTTAATTTGTGAATTGTAAATATGAAGCTATATATATAGATTTTGTGTAGCTATAATTGAGTCATTCACCTGTTGAAACCATAATGAAAATTATAAAAGGAAAAAAAAAGGGAGAAAATGAAAGGGAAGAATTAATGAATTTAATGTCTTATTCTGCATGCACTTTATTTTATTTTATTTTATTTTGAATTCTTGTATTAATTGTACTTGTCACTTTCCTTTTTGTCAATTCTTGGTTGGGAATTGGTTAATTTAACTAGTAAAATACATCATTTTTTGTTCTTAATTTTTAGTTATTTCATATTCATTAATTTTTTATTTCCTTAATTTTTTTCCATTCTATTATTTCATTAGTGGGTAGTCAGATGTTCAAGAGCAGTCATTAATGGCCACTTGGACCAACACAGACATGAGCACACCCTAATTCTATATGATTTTGTTATCCAATTAGCAATTTATTACTTATAATATATATATATATATATTGTTTATTTATTTACAATATTTGAGCTATATATTGTTGTCACAATCTACAATATGTAATATGTACATGACTTATGACACGGATATGACTAAACAACACTATGCATATTTGTTTCTATTTGTTCCATGAATGTTGTGTGTACTTTGATGTTTGCTTATATATGCTTTAGAATATCATATGAATGTAAAAATATTGGAATCAATTTATGCAATTTATGTTAGAATCATTAAAATGAATAATAAAAATAAAATGAAATAAAATAGAAGACACGTGAATGGGTCTATAGGTTGTCAAAGGCACTGATTATAACAACTCTCTCTTTTTTAGTCACATGCAACCCCTTCACGGGCTTCATTCCCTGCTTTGTCGTCTTAAACCAAAATTCTAAACATTAAAACCTACCTAAAATTCATTTCCATTTTATTTTCCTTTTCAATTATAAACTTATATCAATAGCATATTATTTAAAAATTAGCAAATTGTAACAAAAAATTTCAACGAGAGGATATTATATTTTAATAAAATTTCAAGGTAATTTTTCTGTTGGAGCTTCGAATCGAAATTTGATGATTCCAATATCAGTTGTTTCCAACTATTGAAATTATTTGTTGGAAAAATAATTCAAAGAAAAATTGTGTCCAAAAGAAATTTCTACTATTACACTGTTGAAATATGTGTTGTTCGATCAACAAATTTCAACTAATTTTTCAAGGAAAATTTGTAGTATTATCTCCACCGGAATATCCGATAAAATTTTTGAACGGAAGTTATAATGACGGAATATTAATTTTGTAGTGGAAATGTGATGTAACAACATATGTTTGTCCAATTCGACCTACTTACGTGGATATTTTTTTTGTTTTTTTGGTAGAAATTCATAACATAATTGCAAGGAGATTACCAAAAAAAAGCTAATGGTTTAGTTAATTATAAAATATAAGATATATAAATATGATACTTATACAAACCCAATGTAGCTAAGGCTATGTTTGGTAGATAAATAAGTTAGCTTATAACTTATTTGGTTAACTTATAAGCTCCATGTTTTTAAATAAGCTCCGTTTGGTAGGACAAGTTTTTTTAAAAAGCTCGAGATTATTTTTATTCCAACTAGCTTATTAGCTAATTTTTACCTCTTGGTAGCTTTTCAAATATGCTCGTTGAAATTTTTATTCCAACTAGCTTATTAGCTAATCTTACTAAACACTTTTATCATATAATCATAAATTATATGCTATAAACTCAAAAATTATTGATAAGTTATGTTTGGTAAGCCAAATAAGCTAGCTTATAGCTTATTTGGTTAGCTTATAAGCTTCCTGTATTTAAATAAGCCTTGTTTGGTAGGACGAGCTTTTTTAAAAAGCTCGAGCTTATCTTATAAGCTACTTTAGGCAACTTTTCAAATAAGCTAGTTGAATTTTTTATTTCAGTTAGCTTATCAGCTAATTTTACCAAACATTTTTATCATATAAACTAACTTTTCAGCTATAAATCATAAGCTATAAGCTATAAGCTCGTTTATCAGCTAGTTTTACCAAACATAGCCATAAGCTAGTTTATCAGCTAGTTACAAAATAACCTAAGTATTGATTTTCCATTTTCGTGTTTATAGTCATATTTACAAATTCAATCATTTTACTTTGGGACTATCTAGCTTTCACATGAGTGTGCGGCAATTTTACTGTTGCTTTCCAAATACGAGCAATCTGTACGAATTGGAAAAAAAGGAATATAAGGTGAAGCAAATTTGAATGGGACATAAATTGAAGGAAAAAATAAATAAATAAATATATAAATAAAAGAAAAACAATCGTTGGGCGCCCATGGTTTTTCATAACCAATTAACCAGTTTTGAGGCACTGAATATACAAAAAATCACAAATAGTTGAAATTTTGGCTGAAAAAGTACTCTAAAAATTGCAATCAGTCCACGTGTCCATTTGACATTAATTTTAGCACTTTGAAACAAAATCAATCAGTCATAGAGATCACAAGTGTTGTGGGCTCCTTGTCAATACTTACTTATAATGCCTAACAAAGTCAAATAATAATAGTTATAGCAACAATAACAACATTATTGATTTTTTCCTGATTGGGTCCAATAATGTCCGGATGATTTTGTGTATAAATAAAACTTTCATATTTATTACAAAATTTGCCTTCAAATATTAAAAATAATATCAGTTTATTCATATTCATACATTTTACATTGACTTAATTAGTGTATATTTATATTAAAAAAGTATGTTCTTCTCATCAGACTCACCTGCAATAAACCTAATACAAAATAATAAGATTTATGTTTTAATATATACACGACAACATTTAATTATTACGTAACAGTATTGAACCTGTTAAAAAAAAGTTGGTAATATAAATAATTACAGAAGTTGAAAACTAGCTAATATTTGGAGTGAGATTCTTAAAGCCGTCGTGTTATATGTAAACAAAGCTTGTGAACCTTTTCATTTATCCCGTTAACATGGGATTGATTCATTCCTCTTCCTAAAAGAGGGAAAAAATAGAAAAAGAAAAATGCACAATAATTGTCACCCATTTTGGTCTGACGGTAGGTCTTTTATTAGTTCGACTTAACAATTCGACCAACACAATCTTAATAAAATATGCATAAATCAGTAGAAGATATTATACTTCGTGAATAACATAAATAAAAATATGATGTTTGATATTTTAAATATGTAATTATTTAAGAAATGCGACAAGTTATCCCGATTTGTCTTATACAGTAATTAATTTGTGTCTGATGGTGGCACATTGAGCATAAATAATTTTACCATACTTTAATAATAATGGCTCAATAATATGACTCATGATCTCATTGGACTCAAGATACGTTGGAATTTCTTTGAATAAAGCAACAATAAGCATACCTTTGTATTTTGCAGACTTCCAGTGGAAAAAGTGATTCTATGACATTTTACTTAAGAGAAGAAGTCAATTAAAATAAATGAAAATTCAAAGATTTAGTCCTTCAATTGAAACATTTATAAAATCGTGTTTTAACTTTTAAGTATCTAGTGTTTGACAGAAACTAAGAAAAAATGGGTGCTGGTCCATTACCATGAAGGACACCATGAAAGAAGGGAAAAGCCCATATGAAGCCCAAATGGGGTTCCATCCCAAAACTAATTGGTGGAAGGAGTAGCCCATTAGTTTTATAAAGTGGGTCTATTTTACATATATGAACTCAATCGCTATTCACCGCCCCCCTTATTACTACTCACCGCCCCCCTTGGACAATTTTGTCCCTTGCATTTTTTTTCAAAAAGTAAAAAGAAAAAAAAAATTTGTCCGGCCATCGAAACCGGACAGCTTTTAGCCCGTCCGACCGCCGGAACCGGACGGTTCAAAAGGCGTCCGGCCGGCCGGTTCGGACGGCATAAAAGCTGTCCGGAAAATTCGCCCGGTCATTTTTTTTTATAAATTATAATAATACTTATAATTTAATTATAATAAAAAATTATAAATTATAATTTAAAATTATAATTATTTTAATTTAAAACGAAAAAATTTCACTTATTAATAATAATTAATTTCACTTAAAAAAGTTAAATAAAAAATTATTAAAAAATATATATATAAATAATTAGTTGTATTAAAAAAAATTATATATATATTTATTAAAAGATATATATATATATACATATAGTTAAAGAATATATTAAAAAATATTTATGTAATTTGTTAGCAAAAAAATATTTACTAATTATTATTTTATATTTTTTATTCAGGGTGTTAGTAGACCAAGACAATCTGCCAGGGATGACGACGACGAGGTTAATGAATATTATCAAGGTTCTGGCCCCCGACACACTAGAAGTCGGGGTGTAGATGCGTCCGTTCGACGGGAGAGGGACAGACAGACGATGCTCCTCAACTACAATATAATTTTATAATTTAGAGGGATTATACAATTAATTAGTTATGAAAGTATTTGGATTATTTTTATTATTGTTATAATCAATTAGTAGTGGTATTAAATAATAAATTAGTTTAAAATTGTCATTGTACTTTATTAATGTAAAATGTAACGTTTCTAAATGAGTTTTTTTTTTATTACAAAACATTAAGTTGAATGATCTGTAACACGAATTAAAAATGAAAAAAAAAATTATCATTGATGCGATTTTCGATTGTAGAGACAGGCTCGTTCGTGTTACAGAACAATCGAAAATCGCATCAATGGTACTTTTTTTTTTCATTTTTAAGTTGAATGGTTTTTTTTGTTTTGCTAAACTTTAGTTGAATGAATTTTTTTTTTTATTCTAATGTCCAATTTATAACAAATTATTTTGAATATATAACATAATAATTTATAATAATATTATTTTATATATATATATAATTAAAAAAAAAACATGTGTCCGGCCGGTCGGACCGGTCGGACCGGTCACGACCGGCCGTCCGGTTTCGGCGGCCGGACAATTTTTTTTTTTTACTTTTTAGAAAAAAATGGCAGGGGCAAAAATGTCCAAAGGG